GAAACTGTCCCTCCAGTGCTAGCAGTGCTGGTAAGAGCAGACACTGCTAGCACCAGGGGATAGGCTCCATCTATTGGTGGGGAGCATCACCTGCTCGAAAACGGGTCCAGCGTCCCTTGTGATTATGATACAATGATCCAGAATGTCTTAGAAAGTCCGCAAGCAGGACCTGCCAGCATTGATTACCCTGGAGAGCAGGGGATTGTCTGAGCAGGGGGGGAGCCTCTTCACCCTACTTTTGGCGCCAGATGTCCACTGTCTCTGCTAACTCCCTCTGCTGTCCATGTTGCTAGTGATGCCTCAGAGCTGGAAACCGGGTCTAGCGTCCCGTACCAAATCATTATCGTCCTGCCTCTTCCTGCCGCACCGCCGGGGGCCGAGGGGAGAATCACCGGGGGCACCAGTGGGTACTCCCGCCGTTCCCCGGCTCCTGCCTGTCAAAGATGACTGACCTGTTCGGACAAGAGCCGAAAGTTGGATTGCATAGTGTTCTGATTTCAATCTGAAGAGAAAGAATAAAAAATGGACTATCCCACCCATTCTTCTATTGCTTGATGATGGGGTGGGAATGGATCTGCGAAGTCTTCTGCTGGGCGTAGAGGGATATCCGGGCTGATCGCGGTCCAGTCCTTAAAAACCAGGCGGTAGTCCCGGTGAGGCCTTGCTCTGGCCGGATTGTTTTCCGGCTGGCACTGTGTATCCCAAGGGCCGGACCAAACCACCTCCGCGACCCACCCCTCCCCCAACCATTCCTGGCTAAACTTCCTGATCCCTGATGCGATGTCTTGTGGTTGATGAAGGGAGTCTAATGTCTGTTTTGTTGCTGCCCACAGCTGAGACAGTTCCAATTGGAACTGCTGTTTGAGGTATTCCTTTTTTTCTTCCCCATCCACCATCACCTTATCCATGGCCAGGGCACAGCGTTGCCACCAGATGACCCACAGGATTGCTCGTCGTCCCAGGTGGAACATGTTCCATGCGAAGGTCTGGCTTTGGAGGTCCGGACAGTGGCGGGACGTTTGTTTATTTAGTTTGTTTGTTTTTCGTTTTTATGTTCTTACCACGTTTGGAATAAGAATTTTGTGATGGTGCTTAGACAACTGTTTCTTGTTTGGAGATGCTGCACAACATATATTTTTTCCGTTTTCTTTTTTTCCCACTCTCACGACACGAGCCAATTGCACAATCAAATCGATTATGTAATGGTGGAGCATGATGGGGGATGGCTGCGGGGGGCGGGCAAGGGCGGAGGGCAGAGGGGGGGGAATCGGGTGAGGGCGGGAAGTGGCGAAGAGCGGGAAACAGAGAAAAATAGTTCTTCTTCTACACAGCAACCCAAAGCCTCGGTGTAATGTGATTATGTGAATGATACGTTTCTCAATTCCTTGTTCTGCATTTCAACAGCATTTGTTTTTGGTGCTTGACAGGAAAAACATATTTTTGTTGAATTTTTTGTGAACTTGGCCAATGCATGTCTTGTGTGAGAGCCTCTAAAACTAGTTTAAAAAAAAAAAACACTCGTAAAGTTTTTGAATCGAGTTCAGTTTTCACAAAATGTCTATTTTTCATAGATTGTTTTAAATGTGAAGACGAGAAAAAGATGGCCAATGTATCTTTCCACTCTCTAGTGGAAGATACACACCATTGGACAACCTTAGCGAGCATTGGAGCCAAGCCGACCAATAAAAAAACAGAAGTTTCGCACACACAACTCTCTGGATTCTGCAATTCCAGGCAAATCAAAATCCATTTTCATTTTAAGTCAGCACATCCAAACAACTGATTTCCAAAAAAAAACACCCGCTGAGAAACTTCTTACCTTGACGTTGGGGCTCGTTAGACACTCCTCGGGCACGTAAAATCTACGAGGACGCGATCGTTCCACCTATCCTCAGGGAAGAATTTCGAAAGAAATGTGAAAACATTTCCTCGAGGAATCCTTGTAGCATCCTTGTGTCCCAGCATTTGTTGCCCTAATGCAAGGGACCTTACGAGGTCCGTCGGAGGTTGAGGATCCGCGATAGTCGGAGCGGCGAAGGCACGCATCGTCGGCAACTTCGTTTTTTTGGCTGGTCCATCGGTATTCAGCCAGCGGCTGCACGGACATCTTCGCCAATTCTTTGGGTCTCATCGTTCGGAATTCAGGCAATGGGTCGCCAACGATTACCATTAGAGGAAGACTGTTGCTGGGGTTCGTCTTCAATTGGGGCTGTTGTCACGGTGCTTTGCTGGGGTTTCCCGCCAGCGTTGTCGGGTTCCAACGCTCGGGAAAATTGAATATTTTTCTCAACCAGACTCCTGCATCCCTATGTATCACCCGCGGCCACGGCCGCAGGGTCAAACTTGGCGGGCGGCCCCAAAGTCGCAGCCATGATTTTTACGGATTTTCCCCCAGCGAAATAAAACATAAAAAAAATATATATATAAATGGGGTTATAGGGTTCGAAAAAACCTACAATCCCCTTTTTTCCCAAATCACTAATTTGTTTTTGGTATTCAAAAAAAAAATAGAAAACTGCAAAAAAAACAAAAAGAAGATCTGTTTTTTTTCTTTTTTTTGGTTGTGTGTGTGTGTGTGTGTGTGTGTGTGTGTGCGGGGGGGGGGGG